CAAGGTTCACTGTTATATGTATTTGTATAAACATTCAGTATAATATAATAAATATTTCATGTATAGTTGAGTGTAACATATAAAAAATTTCTACCCATCGAAAACCATTGTCAATCTCGACTGCGCCTTGGTTGACAATGGTTATCTTGGGGTGTCAATGTTACACTCAACTACATGCAATATTTATATAATGTCTCACAAGTTACGGATGTTATAGTGTAGAACGTAGAGAATGTCAGTAAAATCTTTCCAACATAAGTAATGTCATAGCGAAAGAAGCAAACTCTACCACTGACGACACGTGCATAGAGAGAATATACAACTCTTAGATATCTGCAATTTTATCAATAAAAGATTTGAAAAAAAATGATTTGTAATAAGAAAAAAAGATCAGTAGAATTTTTTTTTTTGCATCACGACCTCTATTTAGATATTTGATTCCATTTAGATATTTGATATGTTCATAATAAATGATTTTGCAATGAAATAGAAATGCATTGGTCTCTCACACAAAGTAGAGTTGTTTAATTGTGAATGAATAAGAGATTTCGTTTTTTTCAAATGCACTAACTTACAAATGCATAGTACCAGGAAAAGTTAATACGTACTATGACGTTTTATTTCATTTACAAATTATATGCCTTTTGTGCCGCAAAACAATTAATCATTTCATATTCTGAGCACTTAAATGTTGACATTAGTTTTATATTAATTAGTAATTGAAATATGGTTATGAGTATAAGTAAAGTAAGAATGCGTGTTTAATGATTTATTCCTACATATAAGTTAAAAGAACCTTCATTAACAGTATGATAATTTGTGTACTTTCCAACACCCCATAACTCTTATAGACCGATGAAGATTTTGTCTCGAGAAATTCGACTCCAGAGAAAAATGTCTTCTACGAAGGATATGAAGATAACGAACAGTATTCAATATCAACGTCCATAAAACAATACAAAATAGGTGCAGAACAAACATGGACGTTCGAAACATCAGAGGTGGGATGGGTGCCATGGAGGATTGAGCATCTTCTGCTGACCGCTCACATCCGCCGTTTGCTTCTTGTCATGATCAGGAAATAACTGGAAAAATTTGTTGTCAATTCGATGTACAAATAATGGACTAACAATTAGTATGATAATCGTCAGTCAGCATTTATCTCAATGATAAATTGTATTTGCTGACAAGGTTATCGAATCGACCATAGAATTTAAAGAACCAATTTTTTTATCGTACGGTTACCTGAGGTGGGGGAGTGGTCAAAGTAACAGTGGTGTTATTTACCTGGAGACCCCCAATACCCAAGATGTCAAAAATCTGTGTATATGTAGCATTACACAGGAAGTCTGTGTTTGGTAATCAGGGTCAACATTACGTGTTTTGTGTCTGGTTTTGAGTGAAACAACGTAAAATAATTATTTCAATATGGAATTTATTTGTAAATTAAACGCTTTTATCGTAATCATGGTAATGTTTTGAATTTTAAAAAATGATAAGATTCATGTATATCATTTTAGAAAATGTTTTCCTTACATAAAAGAAAAATTCACGAGTAAAAAATACAAATCAATAATATTTATCGTTTTTTAATCTTCAATAAAAGAACTCACTTGATTAAAAAGTCTGACAATTGAAATAAAAAAAATTATTGATCCACCTTATGATTCGTCGAGCATGTGAACATGCATTTACCGCGATCGGAATTTTTTTTATGGCCAACAATGTCCAAAATATTCCATATTTTTTATTCTTCGTGTGTTAACAAAATGTTACGGTTAGAAAGACTTCATTTCAGAATCGATCACTATTATTTATCTTCACATGTTTGTTACGTGTATATTAAATAGACGCTAGAAGAAATTCGAGCATTAATTCTGACATCAATTTCTGTACAACATCGTGCGGATTGTAGCCATACTACAAAATAAAACATCTTTTAAAAACTATGCTATGCCGTTTATTTGTGCTGAATATTTTTCTTATATTCCCATTTCTTAAAAAATAATTTAATTCGTTGGACTTCTAATTACGGCAATAAGAGCCGGTTTCTGTGGACGCGGTCTTTTTTTCTACAGATAAATGTGGACAATATAAAACTTACAAGTGACAAATAGCAATGAAGATAGAAAAGAAATATTTTATTATGTCAATGTTTTTATAACCTACTTTCAATAATTTTTTGAAATAAAATTCAAACATATTGGAGTTTTCTAATCCGCGTGTATACTATGCGGGTACATGAAAGCATTTGACGCGTGACCAGGTAATTGTTTTCAAAACATGCAAACTCAGATTATCAGGAGGCACAGGTAGCTGAGCTGTCAATCAAATCAGAAGCTATTGTTTTTTTAATGATTGACAGGCGGTAAATTATTGATCTTGAATCAGATAGATTTTGGGGGCGTTAACATAAAATTGGGTGTTTAAGAAATGATAACTTTAATGAGACTGTTGATATTCTTGCTTCATCAAATTGCTTGTCAATAATTTACCTCGTTTTAGACATTATTCGTACGTAGAGCATGCTCTTGCGTATCAAATTAACTTAGATATATAAACTTCATATATAGGTGATGAAGGTATATTGCTAAATAGATAAGGAAAGTTGACTATAGAAAAGTTAAAGTCATCACGTTTATCATATACAGTACCGACCAGACCAAACCTGACACCAAAGCAGTCCAAGAAAGCAGTCCCCAGAACTGCTTTTGGATCGCTCTTGGATAGCTGTGGGACTGCTCTCGGACCACTGTGGGACTGTCTGGGCCCGCTATGGGACTGCTCTGGGACTGCTATGAAAAGCAGTCCCAGCTGTTTCTGGGACTGCTTTCTTGGACTGCTTTGTTCACTCATGTGTGAAAAAGGTTCTGAGTGACATGATAGCTCCGCCCCCTTGTGTATTCTGACTTTGGCAGGCTCCTGTTGTTCTTTACTTACAGCAGAGAGGAGTTTAAACTGTTTAATAAGCAAGGATTTCTTACATTCTTTTAATAAGTAGAGATTATTATAGTTAATTGATATTTTCAGGGACTGTATATTTACACAAATTAATGTGCATTTAGAATAAAGTAAACAAAAATAAAGTTGATAAATAAGGAATTAGTTACAAAATTTTTATCCCTAAAAATAAACTTTAAGTTTATGAGAAAAAATAGCTTCATGTGGGCCTTTTTAATTATTTAATGTAAATTATAATATGTACTCAAAATTTGCATTGATACTATTTAAAAATAATCATTACAGTTAGATATAAGATTTTTTTTATTAAAAATGCTACACATTTTATAAGGACGTCACGCTAAAAAAAGAGTATTCCATGTAGCCCTCAAATAAAACCCAACAATTTATTAAATGACCATGAAATGAAAATATACCATTCTCCCGTAACATAAACTATGTAAATAATCATTGGGGAATTAATGAATTACCGGTAGCTTTTAATTAATAAACAAGTTATTAAAAGAGTACATGTATATTTATTTTTAAAAAAATGAAAATACCGGGAATTGTGATTTATTTCTTTTTTGTATTGCTAGTGTTTACCTGGCCGATTAATGTTTATAAGATGGTATCAACTCCCGCCTTTGGGCAGAAAAATTGATACATGTTATTTGGGTATTTGTATCAGTTTTACACATCATTGAACATGCTGGTAAACAATGACCCTGAATTTCAATTTGTTTATTGAATGCTAAAAAATGTGATAATAAAAAACGCGATGAATTTCTTTTAATTTAATCAATTTTGACATAATCCGAAAGCTTCCATTTGCGATTTAGATGTACACTTAATATTTACAAATAAAACACTTAAAACTGAGTTTTATAGAACTAGGCATTAACGATAATTAAATTGACATGTCAGTAACAGTCATGACTGAAAAATATTATTTGGCAAAATTAACAAAGATTTTTTTAAAAGCCCCAATACTTAAGAAAACTCTAACTTTAGAGTATCCCGATAGTCTAAATTGGCCATATAATGATAAGATCTATTTAAGCTTCTTCAGGTGGAAAATATTTAATTCACTTTTAATTTTCTGTATAAAAAATAAACATGGGGACCATGCAGTATCAATCACAAAAGAATTATTAATATACACAAGAACTGTGATTGAATATTCATGTTCAGTGTAATTCATATATGTACATATAAGTGTGAAGGCCTTCTTCCTCCAATAAACAGTATTAATAATTATTTCAATTTTTATGCGCGTACATGTTCTGTTCATAAATGACCGTCGTGTACATGTAAGGAGTCCTGGCATACTACACAGAATCAATTTCTACTGCCTTTTATACTTCCATTGTTTATTGGAAATCTCATTTCTGAGTTAGCTCCGCCCATTAAATTAATAAACCCCGCCCACTGGGACTGCTGGGACTGCTTTCTGGGACTGCTGGGACTGCTCTCCGGGACCGCTGGAACTGCTGGAACCGCTCTGGGACTGCTGTGGGACTGCTCTGGGACCGTTGTAGGACTGCTCTGGGACCGCTGTGGGACTGCTTTAGCAGTCTCAGAAAGCAGTCCCCGGGACTGCTCTGGGACTGCTTTGTGTCACATTGGGTCTGGTCGGTACTGTAGCTTGGTTGTTAGATTTACCATTAACGTCTTTAGACGCTGTGGTATCTTGTGGTGGGCTTGAGTTATGGAAAAATATTTCTTGTTCCTTGCATAATTATTTATTTCATATTTTCAAATTCTAAATGCGTTAAACTAAAACAATGTGAAAAATCACTATTGTTTAAACTGTCGGATGTTTCCCCATACACTCATTTGATTGTGAAATATCTACTGTTTATCATACGTGTGTTTGGTTTCAACTTATTCCACTTTCTACAAATGAAACAGACCATGAGTCATTTCAAGAAAAAAATTCCACAAAGCTTACTTATAGTTGGTTTATTCTTAAATATACTGATACATGTAAATACAATTATAGAATCATTTAGATATGAAGGCTCCTTACAATCCGTTATTAGTCCCCAGCGTAAAAGTGTATGTTTAGGTAGTTGATCCTTACGACGTAGGTTCGAATCCCACTATGGGACGTAGATATCGGTCCTTCAGGTGAGAAAGCATAAGCAAAGGTCCTGTATTTCGGTAAGTTCTGGCACGAAAAAGATGCCTCACTGCTCGATCACCCTGAGTGCAGAGTATAGGTAAATAATCGTTGCCCTCCATCGGCAAGTGATAGTGTCACCATTTGAGTGAAAAATTCTAGATAGAACGTTTATTACATGTACATGTTAGTACAAACAAACAAAAACAATGTGTTATTTTTACATCGTATGAATGCATTATGTCGCGAAGTAGAAATGAAAAGTAATCAAGATAAAATATCGATAAACCTGTACTTAAATTGACAACTATGTATTAAGTAAATTTTGAAAGACTCTATGAATATCATAAGTCCACAAATACCGGTATATTAAATACAAGACCTTGGACGAATCCCTCGTTGACATTGACGACAAGCGCATCGTTCCGACGACACCCTAGATTTACCATTATGGTTTGTTCAAAGACGAGAAAGACTATAAGGTTAAGAATTATAAATTTTATGTGACTGACACGTGTTTTTTTCCTATCATCGCAACCGAAACCTGAACTAATTTGTTTAGCATTAGTACAAACGACAATTCTCATCAATAATCTGACAGTGACATTATAATGATATTTAAGTCTGTCGGTCCTGTATGTCCACAGTCTTGTTTTAAAAATAATTTCAAGTGTCAACGTTCTGCTATCTTTTGATAAACCGGAGTAGAGGTGAGTAGAAGTAATCAATTTTTTTTATTATAAGGATATAAAAAAAGACTAAAGTTCTGTTTGAGAGATATATCAATGTGTGCACCTTTTTGTTCTTGTCAAATCAGAACACAGAAAATAGAAAAAAAATTGGTTGCATTTATAGGTCGTTAAGGGGAAATACTGTCTATTAAAAAGAAGGTGAATTTTTATTTGAGTTTTTTTTTCTACTTTAACTTAACTCTAACTTTAATCGTGGATTCATTTATGTTGATTGAAGTATAGAAAACGGTTCCTACTGTTGGTTTGAGGTTGGTGAACAGTATTTACAGCAATGATTTTGTTGGTCTGTCCTTTGTAAGGATTTCTTCTGATATCTAAAATAATTTTAAAAATCCATGTAAAATGGCATGTTAGCAATTTTTTTTGATTACATGCCATTGTGCATATCTTAAAATGTTTCCATGCATAATTTCATTATTTCTGAATATGTAAAATATGAAAAGAATCCATCCTTAAGTGTATTATAAATGAATTACTAAATTATTACCTTCCCCCGATCCCATTTTTGCTGTCTTTATTTTTGGATAGGTTTACATTAAATCATGATACCTTTGAATAACTTTAATATAAATAATTTGAAATTGCTGTTAAAATATTCCTTTTTGATTGTAATAAAATATGACGTTTAATAAAAAAAAATATGACAGATGTCCATGAACGTACAGAACAACTCTCGTATATTCATGAGTTTAGAAGGCGTTAGAACATTTTTATACTTGTATAATCTTGTTTGTAATAATTGTTTAACAAAGACAGTTACTTTTAGATTAATTTCAGTAGAAAAGTGTTATTTCGAATTCATTGCACAATGAATAGTATATGCTTTATAAGATATGTAAAATATTTTTTGTAATAAATTTTTTGATCAATAAGAAACATTCGTGTCACAAGTTGAAAAGCAAAAAAACAAACAAACAAACAAACAGAACAAAACAAACAGACAAAAAAAAAACAACATCAAAAACAAACAAACAAACAAAAAAAAAAACAACAACAGCAACAAAAAAAACTTTAAAGATTTAAATTCTTTGTAGTCCTAAATTGTTTCATTGATGCATAAATTATAAGACTGTAATATGTACCTTGCAAATATGTTAGAAGTTAATCTTAATTTACTGAGAGTTCTTTTAACATTTCTTTAGTTGACGGCAATTTTAATACCAGTAAATGTAATTCATAATAATCACTACTAGACTAATACATGTTTTTGAAGCCGAATTTTGGTACATTCAAAATACGTTTGATAAATGCTTGTCTTTTTTTCAGTTGATTCTAGACTAGAAGATAACTAATTGGGCAAGTTAAACAATTGATCGTAATTAAAGAAAATTAAGAAAGTGCAAAAAAGAAAGACAAAATCTTTCCTCAAATTCGATTTACTCAGTATTTATTTGGAAAGTTTGTGCTAAAATACAGATTTTTGTTTTTAATCTAATCTCAAAGAAATACAACAACCCATTTTTGTTCATGCACTTTCTTTGATATTATGCCCTATCAGACTCCCGTAAAAATATTGTGAAATAAGACATTGAACTTTAGTTACGTATTTTATTAGACTTATCTTTCAATGCAATATATTGCTTATTTGTGTGATGCTTTTTTTATAAATACCACCGCAACGTTTTTGTTACTTAATTTAAGTAACATATTTTTATAAGGGATAGTAATTGATAAATTCTCGAGAGGAACGTAAATCAAAAATCAATCCAGAATTATAGTATATTTCTTCATTAATAAGAATCATGACGTTTATGTGCACTAGTTTTCCATTTAAAAAAAATACATATACATGTGTACAACATCATATCGACATAGACGGCGCTGTGGTATAAGATAAGTTTTAGTTCGAAATTTGAATTGACCGAACAAAAGACGCAATCGAAGACACAAATATTTGATAGATTGTATTCGAGTTCGCAGTGTTGACATGACATAACTTGATTTTCAAAATGTTTGTAAAAATGGGAGCACGAAAAGCATCCGAATCAAAGACAAAGAACTCATCCTTAAATTAAAGTGAAACCGTGTACCTCCATCAGAAAAGTCGAGAAAAAAAATTCTGAGAGATACAGGAGATTTTTATGGACTTTTAATAGATGTATGTATTTTTATGTTTTCAAGTTATCATGTTAAGATTTCGCAATTGATCAACTAAGGATCCGGACGTACTTTACAAACCAAACAAGTATATAAAGATACGTTGATTTCTGTAACAGATATATCAGTCAACGGAGATTTTTGACAACTGTCGGATAAATAACTCATGTTAATATGGGAAAAATTTATATAATTTTTTGCAATAAAATCAATCTTTATAAGTTTCTAATCAAAATATTACTATAACTTACCAGTAGAATGTGAAATGAACACACGTCCTTCAAACTGGTTCCATTCAGAATGGGTATTTACAGGCTATATTAAAATGAATAGATATGTGAAAATCAAGAAGAAAACAGGAATTTAAAATGAAATCTGAAAGTTTCTGTTACAAATGTAATCCTCCCACTTTCTGTGCTTTCTTTAAAATTTGACTGGTTTGTTTTATTTACCGATGATATATATGAAGAAATATCCCCCGTTTCCAAACTTTCCTCTTCTGGTGCCGTGCTTGATACTAATTGATAATAGAATACTCATTATCTTAAAATCTATAATTAAAAACAATCCCATATTGAAAATAATTGTTTTTCCTTACAACTTTTATTAAATGCATATACATGTATCTGTCTTGTTTTACGTGTGCTTCAGTCTTTCTATTTTTATATGCTGATATGAAAAATACATTAATATTTTTTTTCAATTTGTGTAATGAAATCAATCTGTATACGTTTCTATTCAAAGTATTACTATAGCTTACCAGTAGATTGTGAAATTAATCCACGTCCTTCAAACGGGTTCCATTCAGATTCAGAACAATTACATTTGAAACCACAGCCTCTTCCAAAATATGGGTATTTACAGGCTACATTTAAATGAAAAGATATATCAGAAATGAAAATGAAAATGAAATCTGAAATAACCGTGTAGTTCAACTTTAAAAAGATGATATATTACATGTTAGTAGTTCTGAAGTTTTGTAAAATTACACAATTTTACTACAATTCTCTTAAGTGATTTTATAAAAAATAATGATGATACTGATTTAATAAAGCAATTAGAATTGAGTAGTGTACAAAAGTCAAAGATGTCTTTTTGGCTTTCATTTCATACTTCAAATGTATCGAATAATCATAAAAATCAGCTTATATGTGTACGAAAAGTAAGTAACATTACGTACGTATACACTCTTCTACTTCAGGGTCCCATTTGTAACCTCTACAGCATTTTATAGGACTACAAATACATTTGACGAATCAAAAATGAACTTTACATGTCTATTCAGTAAATGACTGCGTTCAAAACCGTAGCGGCTAACCTAGCAACTAAGTCTTAAATATCTAACTTAATTGAACTGACAGCTTCATTATCCCCTAACCTATAAGTGGCAGGTTTCTATTTAAAATATTATTAATATAAACTCATTTTTGCGTCCAAGAAAGTTTATTTCAAGCAAAATTAGATAAGTAAATTACATTGATTTCTCATATGAAGAAAATATGACTTTTTTAAGTAGAATCATTTATGTTGCAAAGCGTAACTAAATAGGTCATCTTGGATTTGGTACTCAGGATTAAAGAATTAAGCTAGCTCTCCTTCCTCCGTCCTTGCGGCAAAGTTAACTCTACTCCCCAGTAAAGAGCGTAGCTTCATGTAGCGGCTACGTAAGTAGTAGATACTCTGTTGAAGGCTTATAGTTTTTTTTTCCACGAAACAATTTTGTTGTGTCCCTTTGTTTAAGAGAATAGAATTTACCTATAATTTATTTAACATACATAGAAGAGTTTTTATCAGGTAAATACATTTCTTAGAAATATATTCTTGAGACATTTAATTATCATTTGATTAAAATAAAGGTATGAACATGTCCTATTTGGGCCTTGAAAACGTCCATATTTTATGTAGCCTCATTAAAGTGAACATTTCCACTTTTTAGATAGGGGTAGTTTGGTGCTGAAACGTCATAGGTAAAGGTCATAGGCAATTAGAACTTGTAAAAAGGTAAAGTAAAACAAAAACATGAACATGAAAGCTTGATACGTTAAATAAAACAAGAAACAAATTTATCAGAAGAAATTTTAATATTGACAATGTTTCGCTGACTACCAACTGTCAATAGTTTATCCATGGACGTCTACCAAAGAGAAATAAGAAAAAAATACCGACAAGGATGTAGAACATCGACCGACGATGAACTCTGTACTTCGGAAGAAGTAACGAATTTATATATAATACTGGGAATTTCAAATTTTCTTTTTTTATTACCTTGATCAATGAAACATAAAAGGTCCTGTGTTAATGCATCATTTATATGTTTCAACAGTGAATATCATACTCTAGAAAAAGGCACTTTGATCTTTAATGGCGCCATACGACATCACAGACCTAACCTGTTTTGAAAAGTACCATTTTCTTTAGATAATTTACTGTACAAAAAAAAATTAATTAACGTGCGATCGGGCACAAACGATTGTTTTCGATACTCAAATTCTCGCACCGACAAAGTCAATGTCATATACAATAAGTTCCCAATACGTTTCTTTTTTAAGCATTTACCCATTATCTTTTTGGTATAAAAACTTACCCAGAACAACGTTTTGCGATTATATTTTGTATGAACAACCAACATATTGTTGATACGATGTAGATCATTTTAGCGCTATTTCAACACTAAGCAATTCACACTGAAACTGCGTCTTATTTTAAAATTATCATGTATACGTATTATAAGGAAGTATTGTGATCAGCATATGTGAGATTTGTTTAATGTAGAAACTTGAAATATGATAATAATGGAGCAGAGTTTTTAACAGGATGCTATTTCCGGAATAGCACTGCACCACATTTGTGAATATCTGTTTCCTAGCCACGTCCCAAAATATTGAAAGATAATAAATACTTAATAAACATATCTATTATTTATTTTCAATGTATCCGTTATATGCTTATGTGACGACTCATGTTTTTATATATTGTGCACATGTGCATAGCAATGTATATTGCATGTGCATCTAATCATTAATTTAATTAAGGTCTTCCGTCTTCAGCGGAAGACCTTATTGTTTTCTTAGGTTTCTTTTCCACTATTTTTATTATTGTTTTTTTTTCTTACCGATTTTGTGCGCGAGATTTCTCGAAAACGGCTCGATCGATTTTCATGAAACTTTCAGGTCTGATAGAACATCAAAAAATCTAGACATATATTTTTTATTTTGATGACGTCACTTCCGGTTCCGAGATTTCTGCGATTTAGTGATTTTTAGAGGGTCACTTTGTCCGGCAGATTTCTCAAAAAGCACTTATCACAGAAGCTTGAAATTTTCAGTGATGCTAGAGCAACTTTTGGAGAAGTGCACTAAGTATATCACAACTACCGGAAGTACGAAGCGCCGACACTCGCTATGGTCCGAAAATAGTCCTATCAAGAATTTCAAAATTTTAAGCACCTTTTCAGCGATAACTTTTTACCTAGAAATATTTTGTTAAAGCATGTAGAACAAAAAAGGTGTAGAATTCCAAGATCTTTCAAATGACATCTCGAAAAAAGGGCTGGCTCCTTAAATCAGGGGCCTGGAGGGGCCGAAAGTTTTTCCTTTATATCTCAAAAAGTATTGAGAATTTGTGATACGTCAAAGAAGCAAAGTTGTTCAAAATGTCAAGCTTAATCTATTGAAGTCGTCAAAATACGTCCGGTTCCTGTCAAACCGGAAGTGGTCGGATAAAGCGTATTTTTGACGTTCTTGACAAGTTTATTTGGTAACCTATGTCTCTGGGAGCAATAAAATCAATTTTCCGTCCGTCGTCGTCACTTCCGGTCAAACCCGAAGTAACAGAAAATGGCTTATTTTTGCAATAATTAACATGGATTTAGAGGAATCAAACCATTTTTGGACGTTATTTTTCATTTTTGTTAAAAATGAAAGCCACTTCCGGTCAAACAGGACGGAAGACCTACTCGTTGCTTTGCAACGAGCTTTGCTCTAGTTATATTTATGTTTTTACTTGCAGCACACTTCCACAGCTGAATTACATAATTATTCGATTAATCTGTAGTTAAGTGTATTGATTATTAAATTATTCTATTCCAGAGAGGTCCAGAGTTAGCCTCAGGGTGCTAATTATATTCTGGCCATGGTCATTTTGTATCTTTCAGTTTCATTGGTTTTTTAGGTTTGTCTTATGCTTTTATATTGGTTTTTGTGTTTCTCTCTAAGTTTTCTTTGTGTTTCTGGTTAATTTTTTCTTGGTCTTGGAAGGTGATGGAAGTGTAGTTTGGTCAGTTTTCATATCAGACATTTGACATTGAGACATTCATTTCCTCTTGCATGGTAAGTAATTTGTTCATACTAATGAGTAATAAGATTCTAATTTATTAAATGTGAAATCTATAATTTTTGCACTTAATTCCTTAAATCATTTTTTTCGGGAGTAAATGTATAGTGGGAGTGAGACCTTAGGTATATAGAGTTACATGTAAATATTAAATATATTGCTGTCTCACTTTTTCATATTTTTAAAGTAAACTTTATTTGATGATTAGTGTAGATATCTACAAAGAAGTTTATTGTTGATTTGTAGATATTGAGATATTGTTCTCCATGTATTGCTGTGTGCAGTTTATATGCTGTTATAGTGTATGACCCATTCCCATTGAATGGTACGCATGTTTATTGTTTTTTTGCTGAACAATAATTTATAATGTATATATACATTGGAATGATAATTATTGTAAAGATTTTATTATAAATATTCATTGATTAAAGTAATGGGAGATTTTATTGTGTAACTTTCATTTATTTGAATTATCTCCCTTGGATTTTGATAAAGCTATATTATATATTGATTGTACATGTATATTGAATAATAGCTTTATAGTTTTTATGCTAAATATTTATAATTTGTTATTTCATTATAGGGTTTTGATGATTTTCTTATTCCATCGTAATAAAGAAAACCCGTCTTGTTGTAGGGACAAGACGCAATTCTACTCTTCGATGGATAAGACGTACACCCAGGATTCCAGATATGACAGAAAGCCTGCAGGTTCCGTTATTTTGTTTAGCTTAGACTGTTAAGTTTCATATGAACATAAACGCTTTGAGCATAGACGATATCGTGCAGTAGTGACTGTGTATTTCATAGACTTCTGCAATACTTGATATCGCGATTACTTAACTTAGCGGAACTCTTTCGCGAAGGAGGTAGGAATCGTCTGTTGGGTGGGGGCAATGTACTTTTCAATACAATGCAAGATCGATCATTTTAGCATTTATAAGGACAGATAAGTAAAAAATCCTGGTGGAATACCTCGCCTGAACCAGCCTAATATATTTTTGAGAGGAGCCAATCCTAAATTGTCACATTTTTAACGATATTTTTAATTAAGCGGACTCTTCTCGTTAAATTTTGATTGAAAATCGTCACATTTTTAAGCAGATAAAATATTCTAAACTTTCCTTATTTGACAATCTACTATTTGGAGCTCAATATCTGGCAAAACATCGTGATTTCGGCATTAAATTGTTCGAATCATTCGATTGTCACTACTGTAAACAATGTCATTTGCCCCTAGAAATTTAGACTTTTCTCGACTCCCCCGCAAAAGAGCGGTAGTAAGTTAGATAACTGAAAGGTACTCATTGGTAGTCGCGATATAACGTATTCCTTCTATGGACCATTCCATTGCAGTATTTTAGTAGTGTATATATGTATATGTAAATATACACGTAAAAAAAGTATGAAATCATAAAATCAGGTGATTGGTGAGTGAAGGTAGTTTGTGTTAGAAGGCGGCCTATAGACATTGTCTGTATGTCTTAATTTTTTTTTGTTCTTTATTTTTTTACATTTGGATACCCTATCTCATATTTCAGTGTAATTTATTTTTTTTCATTTTGTAAACATTTGAGTACTCCTAAAATTATTTAAAATTTTGGTTATTTGATCGTTAATTTATTTGCTAAAAACATAAACCAAAAACATCATTTGGTGCATTGTATAGATAAAAGGAAGTAAAATTTGTGTCGGTGTCATGTTACAACGTATATCGTGTTAAAAATAATCATTGATAACTAGAGCAAAGCTCGTTGCAAAGCAACGAGTGGGTCTTCCTTCATAGCAATAAGCAAAAAAAAAAGAAATGTTCAAATGTCAACTTTGCTACCATTCTTTATTTCTTTGACTCAAACAGCAAAAACCCTTTTTAAAGTCTGATTCTGGAGTGAGCACAAGGATAAACAATCCAATGGTAATCTCTCCAACACCATTGAAACTATACCTACAAAATTTATACAACCTCGTATTTTGACTTTGATTTGTTGACATATACTAGTATCACCTTTGATGCAATCATATTAGTGAAGTGTTTTATGCTACGGATATATCATCAGCTTTAAAATTGCTTTAAAAACATTTACACAGTATAATTAGATAGTATTATAATAGTAAGAAATCCCAATGTGTTACTGATGAACTATCTGCATTTTTTGTCTGTCAGAAAAAAGATAATACTTTTACAAGAAATACAAAGGAATGTGTTGTGTATGTCTCTAATTTGCAGACATCCACTGGCAAATGGTGGTATCTCAATAAGAGTGTAGTAAAGTTCTCTGAACAGGACATTCAACAAAGATATCTCCTTTTAAAAGCACTGCCCTTCATATGAACAAATTTTATTCCCCTACACTAAAGAATGCTCTGTGCCAAGTTTAACTTAAATTGTCCTGTGGTTCTGAGAAGAACATGAAATTCTGATGAATTAAATTCAAAGATGATAATGGGTGACTTTTATTTTAAAAAAAATTACTACAGCATTAGCTCATATGAGTTAAACTGAATACAGTTTTAGTGCTTTGTTGACTTTGAAATATGATTGGACATCTCTTTGATCTTATGTTTGAAACAACATGTACACATCTTTTGTGCTGAAAAATGCACATATGTAAATGGTGTAGTTGTTTATGCCAAAATAGTAACTTTCCTTCAATGATACTGTAAAAATGCACATATTATACCTTAAATATTGCTGCTGAACACAGAGGTTTATCATCTTATAACCATAAGCATTGGTATGCCTTCCCTTAGAAACGAAAGACCTTAATACAGAATGATCTATGTAAACATGCAAGATCTGACACATTTAAAAAGAACATTTATTTCAAACTAAACATACTAGATTCTGCAACAAAATCTATTTCTCTTGAAAAACTGAAAGCAATTGATATGTTCATATTTGTCAAATTGTGGATTTATGTCTTTTTCTCAAATCAGAATTCGAATATGCTATACTTAAAGTCATCCTCTTGAACTGAGACTGTTTCACATGACAGTTTCATTTTCATTACGCTGTTTCTACTTTGTCATCTGATCTCCCAACAGATGCTCTTCTGGCAAATCATGATCATGCTTGGCAGCAAATTTCAGTACTCAGATGACAGTCACACCTATCAAAAAGAAATTGAAATTTTTCATTTACTTTTTTTTTAAAAGTGCAACTTATAAGATAAGATAAACCATTAAACTGAGTTCAAAGATACTATCACATTTTCTGCATGTGTATTATTTGTAAAACTACTCTATAATAATTTATGTATATAGGTTTACAAGTAGTCAATTGAGGATGTTTTAAAATAACACATTAGATTTTCATGATTTCAAATAAAGAAAATGTACATTACTTGTTCT